TAAACAGAAAGTCTGAGTGTAAAAAGAGCTGGAGTTGTGATCTCGTTTCCCTGTGATCCATATATATTGAGCAAAGGCAGACTGATGGCTGAGCGGGGACTTGCTGCACCTCAGTGGACCTGCAGATGAATGAAGATGCAAATGGAGGGAGGGGGAAGTTAAAGCCTTTAGTGACACTAAGAGCACCCCAGAGGCCCGAGCACCAGAACGCTCATCCTCTGCACATCAAGGACTCAGCCCTCTGTCTGAGCGTCCCCCTGGCACGCGTCACATCCCGTCCATCTACATTCTCATCCAGACGAACACTCGACTCCTTATGCCACGCCGAGCCAATGACAAGAGACAGATGTGCCCTCCTCAGAGAATCCACTTTGATAAGCTGCTGCTCCACAAACTACTAAATAACCAGAAGAAAGCAGCAGAATAAAAACCTGAAAGGACCAATTTTACATGAGAATGGGTATGCCTGGAAACCGTATCCTCGCACGTTGGTTTCGCCTTTGCTGTAAATGTCAATTTCATGTCAGATCCTTTCTCTATTCGAGCATGACGCCTGTGATTGCTTCATCCTTTTGCATGAGAAAGGCTCGAAATGACCATTGGACCTATTCTGAGCTCATTGTCAATGAATGCATCCTAAAGGCGCGTGGTTTGCACACAAAACCGTGATCAAGTCCTGCTTTATAGAAAATGAATTTGCGGTGGTACTGTGCTGTAAGGATGTCAAAATGTTCAATACTTTGGTTCTTTTTGGAACCACATGTTTTATAAAGATACAATATCGAATCGTAAAGAAACTACAGATCTTCAGCCATATTTTTAACCAAAACGCTGGTTTGACCCAAAGTGTGCAGGAGTTTGGCTGTAATTTACAGAAATTTAAAACAAGACATTGGAAAATTGGATGCCTAGGATTTGTTGTTTTATTGCCATTTTATTGAACGGGTATCATTATGGATTGATTTTACTACCACTTTGGGTTGTGGCAAGCTTGCTGTGTAGTTTTAAATTTCTGCACTTCATCCTCAGAGTGTTTATAGTTTTCTTTATCCAGCTTCGGGTGGGACCTTGGCTATGCTAAGCAGTGTCACAACCACGATGCAGGTCCCGTGTGGCACGCTGTTTGTGTGACTCACTCAGGCATATAGTACTCTGGCTTTCCCCTTCACTGGTTACAGAAACACAGGTGAGCCCACAGCAGGTGAACCTGTCACAGTCAGCACCTGCAGGATCCCAACAGCCAGCAGGGGAAAACTGAAGGACAGAGGAAGTTTAGTTGGGAAGAGTTGTGCCGAGCCACCTGGGAAGTGATGAAGGTGAAACACAGTGTAGTCCTAAAGACACACAGAGGGACTGACAAACTGTTACACAATGTCAGTACAAGGGCTGTACTGGACTCAGATTTCAGTCAGTCGGATTGAAGAATTTGGCTGTTCAACCCAAAGCTTTGACTGTTCCTTTCTTTTTCAGACATTAAGACATTATTAGACTACTCGCTTAGTGCTACAAGTCACATCATCACCATCTTTAACTATTTAATTTCACTGGATGCTCCTAATATTAACCATCCATTGATGCGCACAATGAACATTTTAAAGCTATTTTGTTACGCCCCACCCTAAGGCAGCACCAACGGCTATCCACTAATTAACCCTTTCAAGGAAAAAATGAAACCCCTTTAAAAAGAATCAAAATCAAAGAATCAGTTAGAGGACACAAATAACAAAATTGTGTCTAATTCAAATCAAATGTAACACAATGCTACAATACAAAATGTCTGTTGAAGAGCAGCAGTCACCAATCCAAATGCCTTCAAAAGTCAGCACTGGTCCTTTAAGCACTGAGTTATGGTGCACCTCATTGGGCAATCAGTGGCCCTTTGCGAATAGCCACAGTTCAGTATGCAGTACGTACTTTTCAGTATGGAGTTTCAGTATACTGAACTTTAGTGGTCATTCATTGTGCAGTTTTTGGTTCCAACTCAGTATACTGAACATTTCAGTATGGATACTAACTTCCGGGTTTCATGCAGTATGGATCGGATGCGTCCTTTCAGGAAATTAATTGTATTTTACCACTCACAATGCAGTGAAATTAAACGTAAATCGTCACGTCCGCCTCCCAATCAAAACAAACGAGCGTGGATTAATTTCATCAATTTTTAATCTAGAGTTAAAGTCCCGACTGAAATCGTTACTTTTAATTAACAACAGACAATATAACAAATATCTGCATTATTATAAAACCTTTCCCCCTCTATTTAAATAATGATTTCACTATTTAAATGCGTCTTTCTTGGTTTATTTTACTTTACGGTATATTACTGTCTTTCATTTGTACTTTCCTGTATGTACTGTATGTTATTTAATCTTTTACTTGATTTACATTGTGATATTGTTTTTTTCTTTACCTGACTGTATGTGCATTACTCTTCTTGAATAAAGCTAAACAAAAAATAACCGGGGTATGCGGCCGGTTCGGGTAACGTTAATGACGCCACTTCCATACTGAAGGAATCAGAAGAAGTAGGAACAACTATCTGCCGACTGTGCGCGCCTACTGAATAGTAGATACTAAACAGTACACAGCATGGAGAGTAGGTACTGCAAACTGACAGATTGAGTAGGTACTTGGCAATTTGGATACAGCCACTGTCTTCATCTGGGCAGAGCAGGAAACGACATGTCTTCTTCCTGCATCTCCCTCTATCCAACTTTTCAAGCCCAACACAGTTTCTGCAGATGGCTGTTCATCTGCCATCTGGTCCTGTTTGAGGTTTCTTCCTTCTAAAGGAAGTTTTTCCTTGCCACTGTTACTTTGCTAAATGTTGCTTTCTGTTGTGTTCATGATGGGTCTTTGTAGATAATATAACCATGAGGTATTTTAACTACTCTTTTGTAAAGTGTCTTGAGTAGAGCCAGACTTAATAATCGGCCAGCTGATAAAATCGGCCGATATTTTCATGTCCAGTGACTATCGGTATCAGCTTATTTTATCTCGGATATGTCATCATGTTTTAGCGGTGATGAAAGTACATGCGCAGTTACTTTCCATATGTGTTTGATAACTGCATTTGAGGGATCAACGCAATAGATGTGCACAAATATGTTTATCTAAGATCAAACATAGATCATCGGCCGATATATTGGTATCGTATTTCCCGCCCTTAATATCGACATCAATATCTGTAAAAAACCCTTATCAGTCTTGAGATAACATTTGTTATGAATTTGCGCTTTACAAATAAAGATTGGTTGACTGATTGAAGGGACAAACTGCACAGGAACAATTAAAGGCCATAATAAAAGACAAATGGTTGAATTTCAAGTCTAGACGGGCGCATTGGATTATAAAGTAGACTCGTGTTTTTTTCAAAGTGGGTTCAGGGCTATGATTAAGTCACTTCAGGAGTCCTGAGAACACTTACGTTAGATAATTCTATTCAGATAATTCTAATCTAAAAAAATATTTAAGTATAATATAGAAGAAAAACTAGAAGTATCAGATTTAATTGGTATTTAGAAATCAAAACTCAGAATAATGCCCTTCTGGCCTCTTAGAGTGTTGAAGCCTCATAGAGTTCTGCTTGGCACTTTAATTTGTTTAAATTTTGATTTATGAACTAATTGTCTGTAATTGCTGCTTAGTGCCACTGTTAATCCAAGCTGTCTGCCTCCTGAAGCACATTAAGCCAGATTTGTATAATGAACTAATTAGTTCAATTATGAAAAAGAAAGTAGGGGTAGCATAAAAACTGGGAACAAGAGCCTAGAAAGTAGTCCCGCGCTGTGAAGGCTGTTTTGTGTTGCTATTATAAAGCAAAAATCAGCAGACTATATGAAAAAAAGCAAATAATTCTCTTTTAGACATAGCTTGCAGATAACTTGAAACTGTTATATTGCAGATTCATGCAGTTTGGTCTCAGATGGCGGTTCCCAGGTTTAAGTAGCTGCAGGATCTCAAATGTCACATTTCTTTGGCAGTTAAACAAATCCCCCTTCACACTTACAAAAAAAAATATCCCTGTGTTTCAAATCTGGCTTCTGTCACCCACCAGAAGCTGCCATCATCACCATGAGTGCTCCATTGTCTGCTAGCATTGTCATTGTTATTAGTCTTTTTGGATTGCCTGTGGAGGTATCGGCAGGCTCCGGGGAAGCAGGCGCCAGGCTGGATAATTAGCCGTTCTTCGATGCCAGACGGGCACGTTGCCGTCACTTGGAGGGGGAAATGGAAAGTGGAATTACTATCACAGTAACACCGGAACAACCTTTGGTGTGAGGGCTTGGGTCCAACGCGTCTGTCGTACAACTAGTTTATCTACCCGCTGGCACGACAATAACGCTTACCCGTCTAGAGACACACGTGGATAATTAGTTTATCTGAAACTGAATTATTCTTGTCATGTTTGTGGTTATCAGTTGTGGTTTTCTGGAGTTAATACGGAGTTTCTGCATCAGTCCCACGAATCAGTGTGTGCAAACTGAGATTTGAAGAATTTGGCATTTTGAAACTTTTTTTAAGGTTTTTTGTGGGGCTTTATTTTAGAGACAGGACAGTGGATAGAATCAGAAATCAGAGAGAGAGAGAGTGTGGAAAGATATGTGGGAAAGGAGCCACAGGCTGCCCACTTCTACAACTTGGAGGACTAAAGCCTCTGTTCATGGGACGCACAAACCACTAGGTTATCTGCGCCCCGGCATTTTGAAACTTTATCAAACTTGTGAACTTTGCAATAGAAATTATCTGGCAACCTAACATTGTTAAGCCTAAAGTTCATGTCATTGTTATTTTATTTACAAGACACTTTAAAACTCAAATATCCAAACAGTGTTCCTCACCAAGTCTGGCGTTGCCTCAGTTTCACCACATTTCACACCAACAAAAAGAGACCAAAATTATATATTTTTTCTTTAATTTATGGACTTATGTAGATTTTTAGCAAATTCAAACCCCCAAACTGCCCCTTGTGTCCTCCAAGCAGCTCCCATCATCCAACATTATATCCCCAACCAAGAGCTCTCTGCTGGAGCTGCTGGTGACCCTGTGTTCACAGCTGGTTTGGTTTCTCCTGGAGATTTGGATAATCGTAAAAAGTATAGCGACGCCAGTCAGCAAGGTTCCTCCAAAGCCCAGCAGGAGGCCATACAAGAGCGGCAGGGCTACATCCAGAGGTCCTCTCTGGTACAGGGGCACAGGAGCCCGCTCCACAATCAGATCCAGGTCACGCCATGACAGATCCCTCACTGAAACACACACACACACACACACATACATCAATACATAGCACCAAACGGGAAAGTAACTATAACCATCTCCAAGGATTGTTGGAGCATTTTTGTCAAGTTTTAGCTTGAATGAAACACCCGAGAGAGTAGGAAACAAACTGGACAGGTGATAATTACATTTTTGAATTTCAAGGTATCCTGGGAAATACTCCTTATACAGTGAGAGTGTTGATGTTGAGAAGTAATGAGTTGGAAGCATGCCCACGGCCACCAAATCTAATCCGGCATCTCATCTAAACACTTAATAGATTCAGGGCTCAGTGAAACATATCATTTGTCATTCAGACAGTCTCCGGAGGGAGAGCCCAAAAACCTCCTCTTGACACCAATATCCAGGGATATTTGAGGTCTATGTACTGCAAAAACATGCCTAAAACTAATTCAATTTGAACTCAATATGTGGCCCAAGATAACGATTTTATCATGAAACGGCAACTGTGCAAAAAGTGATATATTGCAATAAAATCCTAAAATGATACGTCCCATCATCTGTTCACTAAAGATATGAAATGCCCCTGAAATATGTAAGGTGCATGATTAATGTATTTTTTCTCTGTAATTGGATGTCAGTTTCTCCCCTAATATGTTTACACCGCTGTCTGACATTATCCCATTGTCTTCTTCCGCTTCTTTTATCTCGCTATCACGATTCTTTGGCCAATAAACTTCTGTTAATTCATAATATAAGTGCCATCGTGAGGAGACGTGAAGTTGTGATGCTGAGTCAAATTGATCTGAATTTTTCTTCTTAAAGCTTCTGTGCTGGGGCGCTGGCGGCGCATTGGGTAGTGCTAATAGCCATGTATGGAGGCTGTCGTCCTCAAGCGACAGTTCGTATCCGACCTGTGGCTTCTTTCCCGCATGTCAGTCCCCTCATCTCTCTCTCCCTGATTTCTTACCCTATCCACTGTCCTATCTCTACAATAAAGGCACAACACACCCAAAAATAAATCTTAAAAAAAAAAAAAATCTTAACGTACTTCTCAAGAGTGTCGATCATTGAGTTGAGATTGATAATTTTAAATCATGTGGTATCAATAATGTATCAAGTATCTGAAATTTGACAACCTTACAGAGAGTACAGAGAGAAAGAACTGAGTGGAGATAGACAAGAAACCAATACAACCACAAATGATCAAAATTAATGTGGCAAACCTAATGTAGCAATGCTAAACATTTGATAAAAACTATCTTTTTACTGAACTGATATCAGAGGTGAATCTGTACTGATGAATACTTAAGTTTGGGTATCAAACTCGTTATTTGGGGGGAAAAAGTGGAATCATAAAATCTCTTTTATTTCAAGATTTAGAAATGAAAAACCTTACCCGTTCTCTTTTTGACCCTCTGGCCTTCAGGCCTTCCGTCCTTTGTGTCTGATTGTACAGGTGGGACGTTTAAAGAGCTCACGTATTTGTGATAGTCTTCAACAAAACGTTTAAGGCTCAAAACTTTGTCCTGGTTGATGTTCTTCCCCACTTCTGTGAAAACATGAGCGCAGTGACAATCTGTGAGCCTTTCCATGTCATTTCTTGTGCAAAGAATGTCTGCAATCCATCCTAAAAAAGGTTGTAATTTGTAATTTAATTGTTGTTTTCTTGCCCTGAACATAATTAGTTCTGGCAGGAGAGCTGCGGTTGTCCTCGGTACGGAAGTTTGTACGTATGAGTACATCTTGTCAGAACTGAAAACAAGCGCACGATAATTGCAGCATTCTGCATCCACAGTCTTTCTCTATCAAAGCCGCCGCTGCCCTCCCCCCTTTATGTCTTATAACTCATCTCTTCCAATCCCTTCCTTGTCTCTTTTTTCCTCCAAAGCTGCTGATGAAAGGAACAGATGGTTTGTTCTGTGGCTTGTGTCAGCTCCACTGAGTCCTCTGTCAGATCATTTACACCTCCTTCTATCCAACGCCACTCGGCTGTGGAGTTGTGCACACACTGGACGGCAACACATGCCAGAGACCGGCAGCGTGCGAAAATATGCCACTTGTGAAGTTCCAATTAAAAAGAATCTGAAAGTAATGAAGCAATTACGCGCTGTTGTTAAAGTCTTGAGGAGGCCTTGTTGACCGAAATAAACCAATTTCTTTTTTTGAAAAAACACAGCCATGCGCCTAAGTGAAGCTTTGTTCCAATTTCTTTTTGTCAAGGGACATGCTGAGGTGTCTCAACATCGTGTGCTGCACATAAAAAGTGAACTTTTAGGCCTATTAGATTAGCACAAAGTTGTTCTGTGCTACAGGAGGCACATGTGTTCTGTCTGTCTCAATTTGTCTCTCACCGATTGCGACGTCTGTTCTGCCGATGTGCTGCAAGGCGCGAGAAAGCCTGTCGTAGTAGGTCTGCTCTCCATACCTCAGCAGCCAGTCTGTCAGAGCTGTCCGGCACTGAGCCTCGCTATCTAGTAAACACAAAACATATGGCCGTCACACAGACAGGTCTCTGACAGTCAGCATGCTGCCAGAAACTCCCTGAGCGGAGCTGGACATGTGAGAAACTGACAGCTCTCAGGGAAGACTTAAGTTCTGTCTTACAACAGTTTACCGTAAAACAAGCCTCACAATTCAAATGTGTTTCTTAGAGGAGATGTCAGTCTCGATTTCAGCGTGCACGCAGGACGTACGCTGTTAAGCCTGGCTCACACGGTGCGATTTCCCCCCCCCGATTGTATTGAAGTCGGGGTGGCATGTCAGCTCACACTGTACGACTGAATCGTTTTTACGACGCCCGGCCAGACCTTGAGATTTATGTGCTCACACTGTACGACCCGATTGTCGGGCGCGGCCGGGGAGCTCTCACTGTACGAGTGAAATCGTGACGGAGCGTTGACAATTGTTAATGAAGTTTCATTTGAATACTCCAACAGACGGCGGTCGGTGAAAGAGAAGGAAGTGGAAGTCGTTGTAGGATAGAAGAAAGTTGATCCAATCGTAGATACATGGATACAAGTTTCAGAAAAGTGCTGCACTGATGATCTGTACTAGAAACTAAAATAAACGCTGAGTCGCGTCCTGCCGCTGGTCGCCATGACTACAGTCCTCCCTTGTCTCTCGTGATTATATTGTAGTCACACACAACTTCTGCCGGACCCTTTTCACGACGTAATCGTCAAGATTTTAAATTCTAAATATCAAACATGTTAGAAATAAATCGGGGCGTCCCAGACATTCGCGGGGCAGATCGGGGGACGATTAAGATTGGATCTTTGTACCGCTCACACTACGAGATAATCTGAGCAGATAATTGTTTCCGAGCAGCCTTGAGTCGGGAGCGACGGGAAGGAAGAATCGGAGCTCAAATCGGCCCGATTATCCCGCAATGTGAGCCAGGCTTAACAGTAAAAATAAGTTTAACTCAGAAGAGGGAATGCTGGTATAGTCCCTCATCACTTATATTACTTCATGAAGGAATCACTTCAGGGCCGGTATCAACAAAAGGAATTAATAGAGAGACCAAAAACCTTTTTTAGTGTATTTAAGGCCATATTCTGCAGGTAAAAATACTTGAATGCATTCATTAAACATTATGATATATCTTAATTCAAAAGTCCAAAGCTCTAAGATGAGTTTGCTTTCAGGTGAAGATTACTAACCCTCAGTAGAGGAGATGTCTCTCTTGACTCGAGGTTTGACGTCTAGTTTGTTTTTTTCTGGCGAGAGGTTTTCTAGGTGCTCAAAAATATTCTCCTCCGGGTGAGAGAGAGCGAACAGCAGGTCCTCGCACTCTCTTGACGTCAGCAGCTCCACTAAACGCTCCAGCTGATGGACGCCGATGTCTTCTGACACTTAAAAAGCAAGAACACACTTCTAAGTTATCCCGGAGAAAAGACCTGTTTAGCAATTAGGGAAAAGAACTGTAGGTTGCGCTCAGTTGTCATGTTGAAGCCATGACTACAGCACACTGTTTATAGCGGTTAATGGAGCGTGATGCTGACACTACACACAACATATCTGCACCATGCATGTGCTCTCAATTAGCAAAGCGGTCAAATTTCCCTCCTCAGCTGCAGAGAATAGAAACTGAATAATCAACATTTCACGACAGAGAACAGAGCATTCAGCAAATTTAGTCTCACTGTGAGTTCTTTTTTTTTTTTTCTACAGTTGAATTGTTTTTAAACACACTGGCTGTTGATGAAGCGCCACCTGCTGGAGGAATAATGTCTCTCACCTGTGTCCTCTCCGTGTGTTGAACTCGGAAACAGAAAAATGGAGAAAGGAAATAAAATCAAGACCTTCATGTCAGCTAAAGAGGAACAGGCTAAATACACGCCAGCAGTCTCTAAAGTTGACTTTCAAAAACGTATAAATGATCTAGAATCTGTTGAATTAGAAAACGTACAGCGTTGTTGCTTTTTGTTACAGCCGGTCACCATGCAAACAATACCAAGAAAAAAAAGGATGTTTTGGAAATGCTGATTTGTTTTCTTACGCATAATTAAACTGTTTTCAAAGTAAACGATAAAATGTCTTTAAATATTTAAATTCGCGTTTGTTTATATGTGATTTAGAATTGACTCTGTTTAAAGCAGCACACCATACTTAAATATTCGCAATATTATAACATTTAAAGTAAAAGCACAAAAAACAGAATACCATCATTTTTTTTATGACTTAATGTTTTATTTCACGAGTTTTCATCACCTCTCACTGAACAAATGGTTGTTACTCTCACCCCTCATAGTTCATTCTAGAGCAGGCCTGTCCACTGGATTAGGTAAACTTTAGCTTACGTTAGCCTGCTAATAACCAGCCTGTATAAAGTTGCCTGCTCATACTTGTGTAGGCTAACATTGGCTAACGGTAGCCTGCTCACTTTAAAGTAGGCTAACATAAGCTAACATTAGCCTGCTAATAACCAAGCTGTATGAAGTTGCCTGCTCATACTAATGTAGGCTAACATAGCCTGCTCGCTATAGAGTAGGCTAACATAAGCTAACGTTAGCCTGCTCATACTGTAGAAGTGATGATAACTAATGTCATATTTTATTTAAAGAATACATAGATTTAAATTGTTTATATTGATTAATCCTCTGATAGCGTAACTGGAACACCATTAGTCCAGATTGATCAAATTATGTGACGTATTGTGAAAAATTTACGGATATGGGATTGTAATATCAGCTGATGTATTTTTCTTTGTGTGTGTGTGTGTGTGTGTGTGTGTGTGTAGTGTGTGTGTGGTGTGTGTGTGTGTGTGACAGCTGAGTTTCTGCAGTGACATAGTACACATCTGGTACAGGTTAACAAGACCACACAACATCAATGGAGACTCGTCTCAGCTCGACCAGTGTCTTTTCTTAATGTTGTGTTTTTATTATGTTGTCGTGGAGACAAGAAATTGTAATACTGCAGGTATGAAAAAAGTAAAACAGTAAAGACTCTTATGTTTGTGTCTTCGCCTTTGAAAACGTTCTGGGAGTAGTTGAGATGCATCTCTTTGTAGCAAGGAGAAACATGTTTAATGTTGATGATTGTGTGGGCTACAGTTAGGGCATGTTTTAAATTGTTAATAAGCTTCATTTGCCAAACAGTAAAGGTTGTTTGTGTGGGCTGACTCTCAGACTCTCCATGTTGGCTGATGGGAAAAAAAAAAAGAAAGAAAAAGAAATCCTGCTCTGGGGCTGAGAAGCACAGAAAGTTGGGTGTGGGTGGTATAATGGCTCTGTGATGATTTGAGAAGTTGCACTTGTAGGAAAAAAAAAAGGAAACACTGGGCACAAGGTCAGGAGTTTTATTCATATTTGTGAGACTCTCTGCACAGTATCTTATTGACAAAACACATGCATAACACATTCTTTTTTTTTTTTTTTTTTAGTCGAAGGGAAAATACATACAACATTTCACAGAAACTGCATAATCTTAAAAAAATAGTTTCCAGCTTTCAAAATGGGAAAAAATTGAGTTACCTCTTGGGCTTTTGATTCAAATGCCCTCTAGTATCTTGATTGTTAGCTTGTGTTGCCGTATCTCCATGTCTCTTACACTTCACACCACTGAAATCTGGTTTCATACAGATACAGACTCCGGTGGAATGAAGGATAGAACACATGGAATAATCTTGCAGAAAATGCCTGAATCACAAGACACAAAGATACATAATACAGCCGGATGTATTCCCATCCTGACATTTATTTTGTTGCTTTTATTCACCACTGTATTTCCAAAGCAATGCACCGCCAGCACAGTGTTTATTTCAGTAAAGTTTTAAGCCTTATTTTCTGAATTAACTTTCAGGATGGATGCCAGTGCCGGCACCTGGTGCAGAGCGGCCGATTGGGACCGTTTGATTTACGAGGACGCCTCCGAGGTTGAGGGGGAGGCGGTGGGTGCAGCAGGGATGGGATCTTGGCCTCTCCCTTTTTCTCTGGGCTGAAGTTTGAGCCTGAGACTGAGCGAGACCAGGCCTGCCCTGCTCTCCGTGGCTGCAGGCTTTCAGGCCTCTTCTGTTGAAATCCTCAGCTTTGGCACGTTATCACAGGCCTGAGCTGAATGAGAGTTTAGTCATCGGTGATGCAACCCCCCCCCCCCCCCCACAAAACCCCCTCCTCGATCGCACACCGGCTGCCACCAGACACCACACGGCCTGCCTGCTATCTGTCTGCCTCAGAGTCCTGCTGGTAGGGAAACCCAACACTAACCAAACACATCACTCACTCTTCACACCTGAAGCTCTCTGATAGCTGTACTTCTCCTTCTTTTTATGCACTTACTTCCACACTTTTTCACTCAACTGCTGCCCTCCTCCGCCCTGGAATCTCTGCTGGTAGTGCTGAATCTTTAAAGAAAAAGCAGCTCCTGATCTTATCGTTTTAATAAATCCCCCACAGCTACTTTTGTGACAGATTATTGGTTGCAGTTGCAGCTCTAAACAAATCTTAACTTCCAACGTATTTGCAACTTTAGATTTCTAGTTTCCTCTGTGCATAGATGAATGTCTTACCTCGCTTAAAATGCATTACTCACCTCATTCGCTCCTTAAGCTCCCCGGTGATTCTGTGAATGCGAAAAACAAATCAAACTACAAACAAAAACAAACATTCAAAGCAGTCTTCAGAAGGGACTGAATGCACAACTCACAAGGTGCTATCTGTCTTCTCTCTGACTTTTTTCTCTTACCTGATTCAGGTATTGGTGTTTTTTAGAGAACTGCGTCGACCAATAAGATTCAAGCACCTGAGTAGGACCACCCATCTCCCAGACTTCAAATGACACCACACCCTGCCATGTGGGTTGACTGGCCGAGGGTTGACTGCAAGGAATAAACAAAAAAAAAAAAAAGGATGGTTAGATAATGAATACATGAAGTGAAGGTAGTATTCTCAAACCTGCTGTGAACATGCATACATTTATAAAACCATCATCCTGTTCAAAACATTGTCTCCACTTCAAAGGTTTGAGAGACGACTCAAAGGAAGGCATGATCTCGCAAATGAAATGGAATCTAACATTCCTCTAATGGGGCCTCTCGTTCATTATTTGATGAGTCTCTGCTGCAATTTGCTCATTTTTTGTCTCGCTCTCCAGAGTAAACCACATTCTTCATTAGGCCAGAGCCTCTCCGAAGCATTTCAGAAGCCCTTCACACCCATTTAAAAGAAAATATTTGATCATTTTGCAGCTGCAACGAGAAACAAATGCCTTTTGCAGACAGTTTAATGGCAAACATTCTTCCTTCTGAGCACCATTAGGTTCTCAGATCCATGTTTTAATCTATTCTCACAACGCAATTAAGAGAACAACCATCTGCACAATAATTACTGTACTTTTTGGGGCTGAATTAAACCCAAAACACATCCATAAAAAAAACATTTTATTAACAAGAAAACCTTGCAGCTCTGTTCCCCTGCTGCAAGTTTATTTATCCTCCTTTAAGCCTCGGATGAAAAATGGGGCGACACCCGACATCCCTCACTGTGAAAGGACAGACTTTTTGAAAAGCATTCCTTCCCCTCACAATGGCAGGATTCTGGGAGGGGGGAGTTGGTGGGCGAGGAGCAACAGCGCCGACACATTCCTGAGGTAGAGAAGCTGCACCAGCCCTCACCTGACGAGATATTTCTCAGGAGAGCAAATTCATTTGAGCCCAATCTTCTTTATATGTGGTTTTATTGACAAGGACACCAATATCTTTGAGTTATGAGCCGTTGTCCTCCAGAGACAGACGGAGTTTTTACCTCTTAGTTTCAGTGTGAGGCCAGATAGCTGCGGACAGTGCCACTTGTTGGAGGTAATCTTTTGGACCTCTGGAAGGTGACAGGTGAAAAACGAGCCTCTAAAGACACTGTGCTCGAGGCAGCCGTGTGCCCGGCTTACTAACCACCACAGAGAGAGACTTTACAGGAAGGTTTTTAGAGCTCCACTGGCCATGATACCTCACGCTCTGAACTGACCAAACCAATACATGGGCTGCAACTTACAATGATTATATTTATTATCAATCAATATAGGAATCAGGGGATGGCCAGGGGTGGAAAAGGCCACTGAAAGAAATCTGGATGTTGACCCCTGTGGCGCCCCCAAATTCTTTAATTTGCCAAGTCAAAGGTGGGACTTTCTGTGTAGATAGACTGTCTGGGCTTTATTTCAACGGGCCTGTAGCCTTTTTTGTATTTCAAATGAGCAGATTTCTCTTCGGTACTGTAAATTTTGACTTTGGACAAACATTTTTTTTTTTATCTGTGTGATACTTACATGTTAGTAGTTGGAGGAGATTATTAGTGGAGATAGAAAGGGAAAATGAATGCTATTTGTTGGTGTGTGGGCACTTCACGTTTGAGGCCAAGCCTGCATAAGTCAGAGATGTGTGAACGCTATCAAACATTTCCCTTTTGATTTTATTTGCGGTGGTGACGAGTTAGATCTTTCTGCATGTAAAGAAATTTCATGTAACATTGATATTTAGGCATAAACTGACATCACAGCGTCTGCCTCTTTTGCTTTCTCACCTTCATTATGTTGTAACCATCACACAGTGACTTCCACATCATCCTTTTAACATCATGCCCTTTCCCCACTTTCTACTCTCGGCGTTTCTTGTCCTCGTCAGCCGTCCAATCTAGTTAAGGCAAAAAGGCCCGAAAATATATCTTAAAAAAAAACTTGAACAATTGTTGCTTTTTTTATACAATCAAATAAAGTCATAGTTAACCTTCTCCCTTCTTTCTCATACTAGACTTTATAACAGACAGAAGCTATCAGTGTGGTCTGATTGAAGTCTCTGACAAACATGTACGAGTTA